TATATACACATTGTGCGTGAGGGTAAATGTGGTTGTCCAAGCCTCCCAATAATGGCGGTCCCTCCGCCCAAACCCAACTCTGAGTCTTCCCTCTTTCGCTCTCCCTTTAAAAGAGGGTTACTGAGACAGCCGAGACTCGCCCAGTGGCGCATGTACAACAGCACAGCGCTGAGCCAATTACAAGAGCCGAGCTCGAGCGCACGCACGCGGACGCAGGCCCGACCTAAAGGCGAAGCAGCATCCTTTCAAAGACAGTGATTGATGTTGTTGCAGATGATTGTGATCGTATATACAGATCTAAAAATAACTGTGTGTAGCAGTATCTTAAAATATATTGCGTCTGGGTTTATTATATTTTCACATAGGCTAATGTTCTTTTCACGTGTAAAATTATAACGCAATTTCACATAAAAGACCATTTTGATTTTATTTCATTGTGAGAGTATACATAGATATTTTGAATGAAAATTAACTATATTTATCTGGAAAACAAACAAAAAAAAATCTTCACTGTACATTGACCACAAGTGATCATGAAACCTGCAGAAAACGGAGCAAGAGAATTGGAATTTGGTTATTGAATAAATGCGAATCTTGTGCATCAACATTTTTTTAATAGCCTATACTTTTATGTGTTGTGAATCTGTAATTGTTGTGAATCTGTAATTCATTCAGAGTTTCTGAGATAAGAAAGTAAGAAAGATGACAACCTTTTAAAAGTCATTTAAAAATGCTTTCTTGACAGAAAGTTATGATATTTGTTTTATAAAACATGATGCTTGCTAGAAATATGCTTGCTAAAATTGTAACACTGTATGTAAATGCATGTGCATGCTCACAGTGAAGGTTAATGAAGGAGAGGTCAAAGATCACCATTGTCTTCAGGCCTACAGAGAAGACACACCAAGAGGTAAGAGAGGGAGAATGTATGTGTGTATGTGTGTGTTATCTTTTATTGTATCTTTTATTGTATGAATATTGTATGTGCCTTACTTAGCAGACACCTTGTTTCCACAGTTGAGCTTTTTGCCTGCCAGAAAAGAAGGTAACATTTGATTATACAAGGAAAGAAATGGTGTGTGCGTGCATTTCTGTGTTTACTGGTATTTTTATTGTAATCTATGCAGAGAGGACATGCTGTAAATTGCATGAATCTAGACATACTCACTGAATATGATAGCCATGCCCAAACAGAACAAAACAGCTGCAAAGATCAGCCCACCTCTTCTGATTAACTCATAATCTGGCATAAGCGCACACACAGATAGTTACAAACAAGATATCCACAAAAGTATTTCTAAAAAAAACTTTGCGTTAATAGCTGTAAAGCACAATTTTAGCTTTTGTTTACTGGCTGTTAAGAGCAGGACTGTTACTTAGTTTGAGATATATAAAATAAGATGCAAACAAATGTACAACATTCACACTCACATTATCCACTTTAAAATGTGTTTATGATCATTTCACAGTCCCGTCACTTCAATTTGAAGGAGTATAAGTAACCATCAGACGTTCTTACCATAGGTGAAATCAGCATCTGAATACTCAGGTTTTTCTTAAAAGAGAACACACAAAGGGTATAATGGTAACTTTAAACCTAGTGTAAATATTATTTTTACTTTCTCTAATACCTGTCTCAATTTGTTAAATAGATAGTTCAACCAAAAATCAACCAAAACTGTTTGTTTCCAACATTCTTTAAAATATCTTCTATGTTCTGCAGAGAAAAAAAATGTCAGTCATACAGGTTTGTAACAACATGAGGGTGAGTGTATGATGACAGAATTTTAATTTTTTTGGGGTGAACTCTCTATTTAAGATATATGTGATGTATAATCAATTTTTTTAAAAGTAAATTTTAATGCCTACACAGTCAGTTGTTTTAGTTTTCATATATACTGATTATCAAGTTGAATCAAACTTACCCACTCCCATTGTTAGCAGTGGTGTAGGATCTCAAAGCTCCTTTCAAGAGTTGAAAAGTCCACTACTGTGATATATGTGTGTAAGCGTGTAAGTCAGAGAGGAGTTTGAGTGTTTGCAGGGAACACCTTAAACTCTCTGATGGTGGAATTGTAAATGACAAATCAGTGAGACCTACGGGGAAGGAAAAAAGAGTGTGTGCTTTGCAAATAACGACCTTCAAACCCTTCGCTCTGACATGTCTTATCCCATAAACCTCAAAACTTGTGCATAAACACAAGCCTTTGGGCCATTTTTTAAATATCTAACCATTGAGCAGTGGTGAATGTACCCTTGCAATAAGCTGACAAGGTCAGTATAGCTCCCTGAGAAACAAGCAGACCATGAGACAAATTTAATCTTTGAAGGCCCGATATAAGATAGATAAATAGCTCATGATATAAAATACAAAAATTATATACACACATTTTCTAATGTAAACTTTTTATGTTAATACATTTTAAGTTATGTTAATAAATTACATTGAGATTTCAGAAGAATTCAGAACTGTTAGTTTATCTGTTAGTTCTATTTCAGTGGGTGGTTAAAAATTAATCTGTCATTTTTTAAAGAACACATAAAGAAGTGTAGGACAAATACATAACTAATCACTTTAGTTTCATGCGGGAGTATTCATAAATCTAACAGATTGCTTGAGTTTGTTTTCAAACTCTTGTTTTCAAATAAGTACAAATGGAAAATAGTGTCCACATACAGAACAGGTGTGAGTTTTCTCTCTCTCTCATTTGAATAAGTTGGAAAATAAATCTATCAGCATGTAAAAATGGACCAAGTGAGGTATTCTTTCTAAAGTTAATGATTATGACTAAGTTGAAAGATCCTGCAACTTTCACCTTTTAGACGGAAAATAAATTGTCTTCAAGAAAAGTATTACAATTTTATTTTTCAGTAAAAATCTAAAATAAAACCATCACAGCCTGCTGCTTTACTCTCAGAGTGAAAGAGACTTCAGTTCAATAAGCTGTTCCACTGCATTCAATTTAAAATATTATTGAAAATCTTTACATGTAGCATGTATTGCTAGGAAACAATAGTTCCTCCTCAATAGTAGACCTGCTCAGTACATATAATATACAGTGCTTTCAGAGAGAATTGTTCAGCTTAAATTTTGTGGTATTTTGTCCCAGATAGATACAGTAATGTAATAATCCATGTCCTTTTTGGATCTTCATGATTTAAATAATTAATTACAAAAATTTACAGAAATATATATTTACTGCAAAAGTGCATGTTACTGTGCACTGTCACTTTAAAAAATGAGAAAATATATTTTGATACATAAAAATGTTTGCACAGCAGAGTAGAACGCGATATAACCATATATCCACATTAAAAGTTGCCCTACGTTACTGTAGACCCCTGGACGGTTCTGTTTTCCACAGCCATCTCCCCAACTTGTTACGCCTGTGAGATACCATTTGTCATCAGCTTTACACACCAGTGGACCCCCACTGTCGCCCTAGAGAGAGAGTGAGATTGAAAAAGAAGAAATAATGCTGAATGAACTTAGAAAAGCATATTAAACAGTACAAAGTTCAAACTGCAATATAATTTTGTACCGAAAGGTGGCAGCATTTGTACGCGTTTGAACATGAGAATGTGTCCAACCTGGCAGGAGTCTCTCCCTCCCTTAAGATCTCCTGCACACAGCATATGCTAAGTGATAAGTCCGCCGTAAACAGTAGGTGAGTTACACACAGCTGAGTCTATCAGGTCTACTGCGACCTCCATCAAATAAGTGGAACTACTATCTGTACACACACACACACACGTGGAGAAAGGTTAGTATTATTAATACATAAATCAATGCATTCAAACTCAAACAACAAAATACATACACATACATACCTGCCCCTTCCCTGGTAACTCCAAAACCTGTGGTCCAACACTGTTTGGCAGCAGGAAACATCTGGCCAAACACAGGCAGGCAGACAGGCTGTATATTACCTTTAACAATATGTACAAAACATGTCAGTGGTCAGAAGTACCTCTTTGATTTGTATATTTATGGTAATTTAGACAGTGCTGTGTATGGTAGCTATAGTTATGTCAGTTAAACTATGATTTGCATAAAGGTTATGAATTATATGTTGTATGTACTTCAGTACTTATGTATTCATAATTCTGTGTAAGTGTACAAACTTACTGGCAGGTTTGCTGAGTTTTAGCAAGGCAATATCTTTGTTTTTTGTCGCTGAGACATAATTTTCATGTAAAAATGATTTGCTTTACATAATATGGGCTGGGAAGCCGGAGCTGGGACACCAAACCAATATACACTTTCCGGTTACTAGGCAACTGAGAGCCGGATGTTCCTCTAGGGGGGGGTTGCAAATTCATTCATCTGTTCATCCATCCATGCTTTTTGGATATTGTTTGCTAATGTACTCATTAATCTTAATTAGAATTACAGGCCAAAATATTGTTTCCAACATGTAGACTAGTCATCAAATCTTCTGTCAGTCTGTCTAATGTAATGTATACTGACTTGGGGAAGCAGTGAGCAGCGGTAATGATGAAGTCTGGAGCCACCAGAGTTCCTCCACATGTGTGATAGCCTTGGAAATGCAGACTGGCCTGCCATGGCCACTGACCGTCAGCAGCCACACTCCCCCCTATGATCCTCGATCCTGGTGGCTTTCCACACTCTAAACAGAGAAAGAATAGGAGAGAGTGTGGACGTAAGAGAGTGTTTAGACTTAGCATTATCATGCAGCAATAACCTGTATAGCAATAGTGTAGGGTACTCACTGCTGCAATGCAGGGACACAGTCTTCTGACCAGGACAGGACGCACTACAGTTAAATCAGCATTGTTACACACATGATAGAGACCAAGAGCATTTTCAGTTTTGGTGTTTCTTCACATCTTTCTGCATCTAAATATACTGAATCATTATACGTTTTCATAATTTTATTATGCATTGCCATGCTACAGTAATTTTTATTTATTTATTTATGTTTTTAAACATTTAAATGATTTTAAAATGCAATGTTTGATTGCACTTTTAAATTAAATGTAATAGTTTACTGTTTACACTGACAAGATGTGTTCTACTGTAGGTATATTCCAACGCAATTTGGTGGCAATTCGTAACAATTTTATGTTTTGCTGATTTGCTGGCTGATTCTGATGAATTTGTACAATCTCGAATGTTTTACTTTTTTTGTACATTCTGCTTATGCCCCACTGAAGATTAGGTTTAGGGGTGGACCTTCATGCTTAAGACCTAAGCAAATTAGCGTTTTGTAAGGCATAGACTTTAGCATTAACATAGAATTAGCTACACATCCACTGATTGCTTTAGCTTCATATGCTTTTGTTGGAGTGTTTTTGTTTTCTGTAGGTTAAATTAGTGTTTTTCAGCAGCAAATTATACACATTTCTGGTTTTTACCTCATATTAACGCTCTCCTGGATGGTATTTGTAAACTGACTGTTCAAACTTTGAAAGGCGGATGAGCTGCTTTGCAAGACATCATCTTCATAACTCCTGTAAAGCACACAAACGGAAACACACGAGTACATTTCATACAGATATTCTTAATATTGTTTAATGTTTGTTTGCTTGTGATTCAATGCCATGACAGCATCCATGGCTATTTTCATGGTGAAGACCAGTTTAAAAATGTAATATATAGTAATAATATAAATATGGTAATAGAAATAAGAGTTTTTAATTTTTTGTCATAGTAATTCCATAACCAAGTCTTCTCTGAATGACTGTAAAAATGTTTCAGATCACAGGAATAATGTGTGTTTGTGTGTTTAAATTATACTTACTGTCTGAAACCAAGCTGTTGGCAGGTTTGGTCTGCTATGGTTTTATTCCAGCCCTGTGCACAGACTGGAAGGAAGCTTGTGGTCTTAGAGGTCATGACTTGCAATTCATTTGCTGTACCAAACCGCACTACAGAAACATTAAATTCAAATCAGTATTTGATATCCAACTGAAAAGAGATTTCATTATTGATATGTGATTGAATCTGACCACAGCGAGATTCATCACTGCCTTGAGAACAGTCTCTCTTCCCATCACAGTTGACTGATGAAGGGGGGCACGTGTCTGTCTCTGTTTCTTTCTCCGAGAGAGCCCACAGTGACGGCCCATAACGGACTGTGCAGGAGTCGAAAATTGAGTTAAAGTGTACCTGTGAAAAGTTACTCTTCATGGAGGCTGCACCAAATTACAAATTCCTATTTAGTTAGAAGTCCTAGTTAGAAACTCGTGTTACAGTATACACAACCCAAAATACAGTATTTACTGTCTGATAAAAAAGCAGTGGGCAGAACAGCACAAATGTCAATATTATTATATACTTTAAAATATATGCTCACCTCCCAGCCAGACAGCAATCACAACCAGCACAACTATAACAGCAGTACCACTCGACCCGCCATAGCAATACCTTTTGTTCCTGTATGAGGGAATTTGACTCCTCTGTGTCGGGACTGCAGAAAGGAAACATCAATGGCTATTGATACAAATAAACAAATGATAAAAATTATTTAACACAGATAAAAAGATTTTAATTATTTAATTATGATCCTTCAATTTATTTTAATGAACATGCGTTTTAAGACCTGTATAGATGTGTGTATAGGTAGTGTGTGCTATTAAAGATTACTTGTCTCTACTACACAAGGAGCAGGCATTTTTGATGTATTGGCTGAGGTATGTAGTACGCCTGGACTTGGGTGGCTGACAGTGTTTGAAGACTCGGATATGAAGGTGGAGGCGTGTTGTGATTCACCACAGAATCATATGAGGGAGGAGACTCAGTCTGTATTCATAAAATAAATGCAAGATATTCATAAATCTATATTTCTATAAACACTTCGCTATCATCTGTCATCAATTTAAATTCACAGTAAACATAATATTTAGTATATATATATATATATATATATATATATATATATTACCAGGTTATATTGTTTTAATTTATACACATATATATAATTTATCATTTCAATATATATTCATTCATATGAATTTCTCTCCGGATGTAACATAACCACCTCCTCACCACCAGAGGGTGCAATAATTGGTAAATTGAACAATTCTCTCAAATAAATTCCTTTAACTATGACAACATTTTGGAACCTTATTCAAAAGTTGTAATCCTGATTTTTGGTACATTTGAATGTGTCTGTGATGCAAATTTGGACAGGGGGATTACCATGTGAGACACGAACCTGCTGATACACATTAGTCTACAACACACTGGTGAGCAAGTATTTTACTGTGGATATGACTGCATGAGGATTTGGCAGCAGGTGAAGAAAGACCCCAAAAAATCCCTTTACTTTTTTAGTCCTGTCTGACCTAATGTGTGATACAATTAACCTATTTTTCCATATTAAAAAAAAAGTGTTTAAAAGTGCTCGTACACACACCTGACATTATAAAGACGAGCAAGATATTGAATGGAGTTGACAGAGCAATTCAGACATCTCATTCAGGCCTCCTAGCTACTCATAGATGCATTATATACATAGGTTCATTGTTTCTATTGAATTTGTTGTACTGTTTTGATTAAATGAAAGCAGAACCTTATTAGGCCTGTTTCACACTGCACACAATGTGTAAATAAAGTTGCAATGCATCTGTAACAGCAGGCTTCAGCACTATACAACAAAATAAAGTGATTTCTGGTATACTACTCTGAGTCATTTTTTAACATTACCTAGTATTCACAAACTGGTTTTCAAATATAGGTACACACGAAAGCAGCATAGACCTATATTTATTCAGGTTACAATATTCACTCCCGCATAAGCAGTACAGTATTACAAGACGGTAACAGAAACACAGACATAAGTGCTTTTTAATTTTTTTTTCCATGTTGTACTGAACCCAACAGAAAATACTTTTGTAAACCTGTTTATGAAAACAGTCTTTTGTGATACAGACTTTTATGAAACAACATAAAATACTAAAGTGAAAAAGATCAGTCAGTCAGATCGGCTGTAAGTTACAGTGACAGGCATTTATAGTAAGTCTGACCAAATCCAGATCATTGAAGCTGTTTATCTGTTCTCCATATTTAGATTTCACAACATTTTTTATAATTTTGTAATAATTCTCAATGACCAACTTCTAATAAATGATGCTGTAAATTTGGATTTTAAACAGTTTTTCTCTGTTTTTCACCAGGATTGATCTGTGAGGTTTAGAACCTGCCCTTCCTTCTTATGGTATGTTACAGATCTTATTCTCTCTTTAACAGCATCCAGTTGGAACACGTTTTACATATTACACACTGAATCATTCACTTAGTCGCATGTAATCTGCCTAATTTTGTATAATTCTGTTCCTTTTTTATAACCAAATAAGGTTACTAATTCTATTAATACATTCTAAGTTAGAATGTATATGTGTTAATAATTATTACAGGTAACTATTAGGACACAATACCAAGACAACTGTAATGTTACACACAAGCTGATCACTAAGAGAAAAAGAATTACAGGAATCATAAAGTGATACTTAATACATTCACAATAATATATTAACAAAATCACAAAACAACTGTTGTTTTAAAACCACCCACAAAAAGAACTGACACACTTGAAATACAAGAAATAAATATTTATATGTTTGTTATATACCGATATATCCATGTTTGAGAACATTTTGTTCGGTAAAGTATTCATACCTGTCTGTGCTCCATAGGTGAGTATCCGTATAAGGAGATCAGAAAAACTCTACCTGTACTTTAGCTATGTATTTATTTTCTGTCATGCACCTGCTAATGACGCAGAACAAATATTATATCATCAGAGCAGGACAGACTCACCCTGTAGTAACTCATTTCTTTTTCTCACTCTCTCTCTCTCTTACACCTGTTTAACTGGTTTTACAAGGTTTTTACTGGTTTCTTAACAACATGTCCATAAAAACACTGTAATGCAGATAATTAAATAGAGAACAGAAGTGTCCATGAACTGCTTTCATCATAAATGAAGGCACAGTAGAAATTGGTGTTTAATTGATGCCATCAGTCTGTTATTCTCCATCACACAATTATGTTTACACATAGATCACATCTCACCCAATAAACCACACAATTTAAGAATAAAGGCAAGATAATCTGAGTGTTGAATATATTAAGACACATATATTTATATAAGACACATATTTAATATATTAAAAATCACATTAACAGACATTGTCACAGACAAAACACAATCCCATTTATAAATTTCTAATACAAAACTGGCAAATGTGCATCAATTATAGTTGTGTGTCTGATGTATATAAACCTTGGTATTTTGTGTCATAACTTTGATTCTGCAAGGTGTGTATTTTAGTGAATGACACCTGTCATTCAAAAAATAAATAAATAAATAAATAAATTCTCTACTGCTGTACTTATTTAAGGTATTTAAATCATGCAGACAAATTAACTTCATGTTAATTACGCTATCTGAACTTAATATTATAAAAAGTATTTTAGTAATTTGAGAATTACATTTAAACCTAATTTGAAATAAAAGGCTGAATTGAGAATGCCATTAGCATGCTACTCCTATTTCTGCTGTAAATGATAGTATGCTAGCATACTAGCATAGTGCCCACATGTGGCAGAACTAGTAGGCCTATGCTGTTCTGAATTCAGCCAAAGTTTCATCTACACCTGCCTCCAACTGATTAGTTAATGCAGATCAGCTGAAGTAAGGTGATAACTAAGGAGTCCCTAAACACTGCTAGTGTCTAGTGAGCTGCTAGTCATGATTCACTAATTAGAACTGTAGGGAACTAATACCATATAAATCTATTCATAATATACTTAGCCATAGCAAATTGTTAGTATTAGTGAAGTCTCACACAGTTAAAGAAAGGACAACGTGTCTATATTGAATTACAGGACCAGCAAAATCCACTGATTTGGCTAGATTTCTAGTTTCTCATGGCCCTAAAGCTGAAACGAAGGCGAGAATTAAGCACACTGAGGACTGAGGAGAGCAGAGCACGCTGGAGATTGGCCATTATTACTGTGTGCTGTGTGCTAGTCATACTAGCAACCTTAATAGTGGGGTTGTACTTTAGTAAGAATCTTTTGCCATATTATTCTCCTTTTCTGCCATCTTTCATTTTCTTCATTGTAATGCTTATCACTTTGACAATTGTTTTATGTCTTTGACCACTAAATATAAAACATTCTCCATGAAAATTCTCTCCGTTTGTTTATTTGTTTACTTTCCAGCCATTAAGATGGTGAATACCAAGTTTTTCTTCTGCTCTGGCTCACTGAAGTTCATTTCAATAGAAAAGGTATGTGATAGAAAGGCTGACTGTGCAGGCAGTGAGGATGAAATCTCATGTGTATCCAAACTGCAGACCAATGACACATATCCAGGTGATTATGCACACTTATACTCTTAAAATAAAGTTTTTTTTTTTCTTATTTTTTTCTCCATTGCAATGCCATAGAACATAATTTTGGGTTCCCAAAAGAACCTTTTAGTTAGTAGTTCTTAACAGAACTATTTGTATTTTCTTATAAATATCTTGTGATAAACATGTTTTAAAAAATTAATAAGAATCTTTATGCAAGTATGTATTTAACCTTTCTCCACTGTAAAGAACCTTTTGTAAAATGGAAAAGTGTCACTGATGTTCAAAATTCTTCGTCGACCCAGAGATGCCAATAATGAACCTTTATTTTTACACCACTTTTGAGAGATTTTTTACTGTTCCCTGGCCTTGGTTAAAGTATACTAAAGATGAATTTGTAGGTGAACATGTGATTCATCTATATTTCCTTATGTAGTGAGGCTGATGGGGGAGAGACTGGTCCTGCAGGTGTTCATTAATAAGGGTGGATGGAGAACAGTGTGTGCTGATAACTGGAGGACGAAGCACACGAGGTTAACCTGTCAACAACTGGGCTATACAGCGTAAGCAGAGCACGCACAGTACAATGGTTCATAACCAATGACCATTAGTAAACTAAGCTGGAAAACCACATATAAGTGCTGTTATATTGCAATATTTATGTAACTAAGAAATCTGAGCACCTTCTCATTGATTGCAACAGTCTTTATAGTGTTTATTGAGAAAATATTCCACTACAGGAGTCCACGAAGTACACGAGTCCCGGTGAAGAGTCTACTTTTCAACCCTCACAATGCATTTGCTACAGTCAGCAATGACTCCACACACTCTGACATCCAGAGTTTACTCTCAGTTGGGTAAGGTACACTTGCTATGAGGTCATTTGTGATATTCTCCACATAAAATTATCATATCATTTACATATAGAAACAATGATGTGCTCTCTCACAGTGACAAATGTCTCTCTGGCTCAGTGGTGTCTGTGTCCTGCTCAGGTAAGACTTGAGATGTGTGTTCAATTCATGAGCTGGAATCTGAATTTAATTGGCCACAGTGCACAGTTAAACCGGAATAACAGGAAGTGAAATTTAATGGATTGCAATTGAAAGACATTCAACTTTCTAGCAAATTATGCATGTTCTACCATGGTCCATAAATCTATCTGTATATAAAGCTTATAGAAAATGAATGGGCTTTTCGTTTTTTTTTTTTTAACTTTGAAACAAGACATACATCGTTCGAAGTTGATGACAGACTTTCCTTTTTATTGTTAAAAATTAGTTTTTTTTATTTCAATTAATTTGTAATTCCTACTTCATTATTTAAATTTGAATGTAAATTCTAAAGCATACTAATATCTTCGTTCATGTGTCTGATTCTAAACGTCTCCCCTGTGTTAATACAGACTGTGGAGAGGTGGTGGGAGAGGACCGTATTGTTGGTGGGGTGGACACAGAAATCGAACACTGGCCGTGGCAGGTTAGTCTTCAGTGGAACCACCAGCATGTTTGTGGAGGAGCATTACTGTCCAGGCGCTGGATCATATCAGCTGCTCACTGTTTTACAGGGTAAGACATTCAGAAATGTTAGATGTGTTCTAGAACAGAATTGTAGTCTTTTAGTCTAATTCAGTCTTTCCCCTTAAATAATTCAGTTGACTAATGAAATGTCTCAAATGGGTAAACCTAAACCAGTTGCTTTTGAATAAAATTCCTCTCTTTACAATAAGAACACATTTTTACTTGTTTAAATGAATGACTATGGTTCAGTTGGTTCACTTGGATGTTGTTTTGTGACTTGCTGCATCTCTTTCTCACATACAAACAAACTCTTAGCCAGACACGGGAGCTGAGACGATGGACTGTGGTGTTGGGTCAGACCCAAGTGGCGGCATCCAGGGGTTTCGGCAGCATAGAGATGATTGTTGTCCACAGTTATTACAGCCGCTTGAGTAATGACTATGATATCGCCATGCTAAAACTCACCTGGCCTGTCACTGTTGGGGGTACAGTATTTCATTTATCCATTCTGATGAGCTACTCTCTTACATCAGAGTTTTACGATGATTATATGATTATATAAATTGCTTGAATATGTAAGAGGGACATTTCAAGTTGATAGTCCCACTTCAGCATCTACAGCTATTTTTTTTCCTAATTTTCCCTCCTTTGCTGCTAGATTGACATTTTAAGATGCTTTATGAAACCCTTCCCCCCCCCCCCCAAATCAAAGGCGGTTCATGGTTCATAGTGCTCCAAAAAGATGAAGAAAATGAAGGTGGCCCATAACATATGGCATATTCTAAAACATAAACAACGATCACTTACAGTATGCTTTGGTTATTTTTAACTTAGTTATTTTGAGAAGTCTCAATGTGTCATTACTGTAGCATCCTAGTACTCTAAAGCAGTAGTGTCAGTAGTTGTAGTGAGGTCAGTGGTTTGTAAGGTTTATCATAGAACAAAAGGCACAAATAAATATCATTGGCTATAGGTCTTATTTTCTGTCTATCCTTAGAATCGATCTTGCCAGTTTGTTTACCCCCACACCAGCTGTCTGTGAAGGAGATGCTTGTGGTGACTGGATGGGGATTGTTAAAGGAGAAAGGTAAGAGGAAGGGGCTTTGTCACTTAATAGATAATTGGTAACTCAAATAAGGCAGGATTGTGAACATCTATCTTTAAATCTGCAATCCTCCTTTTGTTCAGTTTCTCCCACAACCTTTATATTGTTTTGTCTCTGGCATTTCCTCATTCTCATTTTACGCAGGTGAGCTGCCCTCTGTGCTGCAGAAAGCTTCAGTGCCACTGATTGACAGGTCAGAGTGTTCCAAGCCCTCTGTTTATGGTTCTGCCATAACTCCCAGAATGCTTTGTGCTGGATTCTTCGAAGGAAACATAGATGCGTGTCAGGTAACAACAACAAATGAAAAATCAAATGCAGGCTCCCCTTCAGAAGAGAGAGATATAATTGTCTTTGTATCCAGAAAAAAAAGCAATTTCCAAATCGTATCATCACTTTTGTATTCTCTTTTTTCTCACAAAGTATTCTCTCTTTTTCAGGGGGACAGTGGGGGTCCACTGGTGTACCTGTCATCTCGTTGGCAGTTAATGGGTATAGTGAGTTGGGGAGTGGGCTGTGCACGGGATGGAAAACCTGGCGTTTACACGGATGTTAGTCAACTTCTCAACTGGATCTACACTGTAATGAAGGTATGTTTTACTTGATTGTGCACATTAATATATAAGAAAGGAAAATATATTTCCAGACTGAATGTCATGTTTCAGAGACGTCCATGAGAAGGTGAACCATGGACACATCACTTCATGCTTTTGTGACACAAGAGGAAAGACAACAAATCACCTCAGTGTTACTACAGAAATCTACGTTCTTGAATCTAGATACTGATACATTTTATAATTAATTTGACGTTTAATTTAACACTAGTATTATATCAAAACATCATGCTTTTTTAGTCTCACTAGTCACATTATGGCAGTTTTCCAGTCAGTACTGTATGCTCATTGTAAAGCTAAAGTACTCCAAGTGTTTTAATTTTTTTCTAACCAAATGCATTTAGAAAGCTAAATAAATAAATAAAACAACAAAGCTCTTACTTGATTCATTTACCAGTCCAGCACACATCACAACCTTTATTTTATCCAAAACATTTTATTTTAGTTGCTTCTTATAATAAAGAAATCTAATATGCATGACTATGCAATCCAATGGGGAATAACGGGCCTGCACACTGGCTTAAGGAAACAATGGAATGAAGAATTCTGGATTATGGTCTGAGTGGACCATCTATGATACAGCATGTGTTTTACATTCAGTTTTACAGGGACTGATGTCAAACAATGTCTACTGTCTGTAGATCTGGATAGAAGTAAATTCCAAGTTAGTCATTTTCCAAACCATAACTCCTCCAAGGCATTGTTCCTTCCGACTCTGTGGACTTGAGTCCTTGAGGCCTCTATTCTCCTTGGTTTTACATTTTTGTCTCAACAGTCTGGTGTAGTTCAGTGTTCGTAAAGCATCTAAATGTATCTGATCCAGCTTTTTTTTTTTTTTAAACATAGCTTCAGTGGTACTCTGATGCTTTAACACTGTACAATTAGCATGCAAATTACTGTAAAAACAATTTATAGAAGTTGTACATTTACAGAAGTTGCACATCGAATTTTATTCAAAAGCAACAAGTTTGGGTGTATCAATTTAAGATACTTCACCATCCGTCTGAGTGAATTAAAGGATAAACTGAAAGTAACTGAATGAATTCAAACCAGCAATCCACATTTTAATTGGTTTCTCCCACATTCTCTATTATTGCTTTGTATCTGGCATTTCCTCATTCTAGTTTTCCACAGGTGAGCTGCCCTTAACACTGCAGAAAGCTTCACATAAGTGTGAACAGACACACACCATCAAGATAATTATGTTTTTGGCCATAGGTGTTTGTGAGGTGTCAGACAGAAATTTACTTCAAATTCCAATACCGAAACATGAGATACATTTACAGAGAAATACAGCTTTATAGGAAAAACTTTAAATTCAAATAATGGTGAAAACTTCCCCTTTGAACTGTGTCATATTAGTCTGTGGTTTGGTTGAAAAATGAATTAGGCCATGGCTACCGCCAAGCCTGACAAATAATAATCCAACCAAAACTGGTGTGGTATGTTGTTAATTAAATAGTGCATTAATAAAACGAAGACAGCAAAGATAATATTAATTAGAAGACCAAAGATCCTGAAGCCAAATTACAAGAAAAAATCAAACTCTTTCACTGAACAACCTGAAAAATTCTTGACTCTTCCAAAATCTTAATGTTAAATGCAGAAATATGAAGTGTAAGTTTAGCACAACAGTATGATGAAAATGTCTGAATAAGAGGTAGTATAAGTGCTTTGAAAATGTATGAATGTACCGTTCCAATATTTCTCTTATTAAAAGAAGCTAGAGTCCTCTGAATGTGTATTGCTTTACTGATCTGTGTGCACTCACAAGATAAAAAAAAAACAAAAACCTGAGCATCAATGACATTATCAAAATTAATTGCAATCATTTCAACTACACTCTTGCAATGTTAAATAAAAGATACTGTTTCTAAATTAAAAAAAATATATATATATAAACATAAATGCTGTTACAATAGCCACTTAGTGATGTTACACATGCGTATGAGAGGAGAGCTACTGGATATACAGGTGCATCTCAATAAATTAGAATGTCGTGGAAAAGTTCATTTATTTCAGTAATTCAACTCAAATTGTGAAACTCGTGTATTAAATTCAATGCACACAGACTGAAGTAGTTTAAGTCTTTGGTTCTTTTAATTGTGATGATTTGGCTCATATTTAACAAAAACCCACCAATTCACTATCTCAACAAATTAGAATACTTCATAAGACCAATAAAAAAAACATTTTTAGTGAATTGTTGGCCTTCTGGAAAGTGTTCATTTACTGTACATGTACTCAATACTTGGTAGGGGCTCCTTTTGCTTTAATTACTGCCTCAATTCGGCGTGGCATGGAGGACTTAAACTACTTCAGTCTGTGTGCATTGAATTTATTTAATACACGAGTTTCACAATTTGAGTTGAATTACTGAAATAAATTAACTTTTCCATGACATTCTAATTTATTGAGATGCACCTGTACTGTATAGTATACACTGCTTATAGATTTTTCAGGTACAAATACAATATTAATTTACCAGATTTCTCCTAGACTGTTTTTGTGCTCTATAGTTCTAATGAACAAATCCACAATCTGAGTTTACAAATCTAGACTAGACCTCTGACTAGACTGTTTATCTGGAGTTAACTCCTTTTGGCACTGAAAACGAGCAGCTTTTTTCAAGGAAGATTTACGTGTATTTCGTGACCAACATAAACCAAGATTCTTGGTTAAAATATATCTCACTAAATAATATTTTACTAAAAGAGGTAACATATCTTTTTAAATGACAGGATAATCTGCCATCGGTCATTTAGAGTTGACGTTTTGTACAGCACCTCTGTAGTGTTAATAACAGATTATTGGGACATTATCTATTTATTCATGTTATTTCATTTCTAATTGAATGAGCAGACTTGCTTGATGTCAGCCCCTTCTCTGATATCCTCTGAATTCCCTGAATCCTTCAAGTGAAAGTTTGAAATGCTTATTAGCTAAACTTCTGAAAATCCTATATCCAGTCATGTCTTGATTATTAAATCTATATTTACATGATATATACTGTTATCATTTAGTTAGTTGTTTTGCATAACTGTATGATTATGGGTTTATTGCCTTTAAATATTGCATTTTCATTATGTCATAGGGTGAGTTGCATTGTTTTCAGGTCACAGTATGTCTGTTTGGATAACTGTATGATTATGGGTTTATTGCCTTTAAATATTGCATTTTCATTATGTCATAGGGTGAGTTGCATTGTTTTCAGGTCAAAGTATGTTTGCATCGAAAGGTTATATATATATATATATATATATAATTTTTTTTTTTCCTTTTTGGTATTCATATTTTGAATAGCATGGAAATTCACCAAGCTATTTTTAGTTTCAAAGCTGATGCTATTTATGTTCAGTATGTGACAATTTTCTTTCAGTATATAAAAAAGCATTACATACAATGTTTCTACTGTTATAGTCAGCCATGTACCCCTAAAACTTCTGGCATTTAACACATGCTATAATGCATTGGAAATTATTTGAAGCAGCATTTTCTAGGTTTCATTCAGGGTTTTCTCTAAGAGGATGCTGATTTCTATGGATTGTCAAGTATCATTCATTAGCTTGTATTTACTAACTGTTTGGTGGCTTTTGTGATTTTGCGGCATTTTCTATTTTTTTTTCTTTCTTTTTTTGCATTGTAATGTTCTGCATTGATTCAGTCATCCTCGCCAAAAGGTGGTGACAGAAGCATTAACAGGCACCTGTGTTTCATTTTCAAGCAAAAACGGTAATGAGGTTTATTTTGAACTGGACTCAAGACTGTTAAAATAAGGCCTAATTCTCCCTTCAGCAGAACTCTGATTGTAATAAGCATGATTTTTCTTTTTTGGCTCTATTCAGAGGTACTGCATTAAAACATGCAGTTTGATTAACCAGCTATGAGTCTGTCTCTGTGAGTGAAACAATACAAATCACTAGTGTCCCTCTAAACAAATTTCTCTGTTGCATAACTGATCTTTCTACAACATATATTTTTCAAAGTCAATGGCCATTTGACAAACAGGAATGCATTTTTTTTAACACAAGAAACCTGTACTCCTTTCACAATTATTTTAGTCAGGCACCTACTGTAGATGTGAGGGCATGGGCTCTTCACAGTTTTACAGTCCAGTTCAATGAACTAAATAAATAGCATAGCTACATTTATCCCTGTCTCAAGCATTATTGAAGAAAATATTTCATTTTTCTATCATAAGAATAAGTACAGCCCACAGATTCAGTGTGGGCCAAGAAACTAAAGTGCATGAGGCTGCATGTGTGGTGCATATTTAAACGCATATATAAATTTAATATATGCAGAAATACCTTATGCCCCTCGTTTTATTCATATCCGTGTTTATGCATCAACTAAAAATAAGTCATATGAACATCATCCTTGGAAAGGTTATGAATGAAAATTTTTCACATTTGTTTAATACTATCATTGCTCTATATATATAAAAAAACAAAAGTATAGCATTTGTAAACACGGATGTAAATTAACAGAGAGGGCACAGCTTGATGGCTGATCCATGTTTTCACGTGCATGTGTGACTCTGTTTGGTTGCACGCTGTCATGCTTTCTTTGGTGTAGATTTGGAGCCCGACAGACCGTTCTCTGTGTTATCAATCCCTGAGGAGGTGACAAGGCACTCCTTACTGAAAAAAACATAGAAAGAAATGGGCAGAATGAGAGGGAGATTATATATATAAACCATACATATTATACATACTACTACTACTACTTGCATATTAATTCATCAATTATTTTATCATTTATATTTATTGTCAAGCAATGACATGGTCCAAATCTGGAAAAGGGTACAGGAAATCTTAATCTTTCTAGTCTAATATATGCTTATGTGTAGATCCTACAATTTGCCATGAACTCACTTTTTTTCCTCAATCTTTGCGAGAACGAACAGAGTGAGGTTCTTTAGCAGCATGAAGGCCATTAACAAAGCGATGAATCCACCAACACAGGAAGCAATGATGATGGTGAGTGTGTTATCAACCTTCCTTACTGAGAATGGGATAGCCAGAGAATACAACAAAAAGGGAATGAGAGAGGAGAAAAAGGCATATAGAGTTATTTGAATAATGACCTTGAAATGTGATGTTCATGTATCATTCTCTCTCTTCCCACCCTGCAACACTTACGTTCCTCTACTACATATAGAGTGAAAATGGCGCTGTGATTCTTGCCCTTCTCTTTGGGGTTTTTGCCAAAGCAGGTGTAGATGCCTGCATCCTCAAATGTTATATTCCAAAGCAGGATGGAGATGTTATTTCCTTTACTGGAGCCAACGTACTCCACCCTCTCACGGAAAATGTTTACTTTATTTGGCTCCACATTATCCGTGGGAATTACAGAATCAGCCATCTGATTGGGAAAGAGAACTGTCAGTTATTAATGTTAAACTGAGCATATGTAAAGTACAACTAACACTGGCTCTAGATATGTGTTTTTGTCTTTGAGACTATCAATACTGCAGTGCAAATGTATATCTTAAATTGTCACTCCATTTTACAATATCCTTAACTCAGACTGTTCTCTTTGACTTTGAAGTCTGTAGTGATGATCTATCTTTGTTACCATCTTTGATACTTGAAAGAACACACAGAATATGACACTGAGAAACAATATCAAGTCGATGGAATGATTTGTAAGAACTGCTGCCCTTCCACTTCAAGTGCCCTTGAAGGCATACAAAACCAGCTCAAGATAAAGTAAGGGTTTCTATTTATATTTCTATCCAATCAATGTTAGACTTAGCAACAGTAACTCATTTTATTGTTAAATTATGTTTTGGATGTTGTCTTAAGTAAATAAAAGCTGAATACAGTGTGAAAAGTGCCCTGCTAGGCCTACATGGTGTTCATGTATAACTGAACACGTTAGATAGGTAAAGGATAATCCACATTGAGCAGTTAATTATAGAAAAAAATCAACGTGGAGGACGCCTGAAGGGGTTTAGCCTATTGTGTATTATCGAGATTATTACACGGCCGCTTACCAAATAACTAAATATGTTGACATGAAATACTGAATGAACATATTTTGTATATTATCCAAAAGCTCCTGCTAAGAAAAAAAGTCTACCACAACATATAAAACAATCGGTAGTGACAAGGCGAACATTGCAGCAAAACAGTAAATACACTGAACTCCTCTGAAGTCATTGTAACTACAATCGATAACTAAGAGACGCAGGATGGCGCCAGCTGCATTTGTATAACAGCGAGCGCGAGGCCGCGGTGTGATATACGAGATTTCGCAATGTCTGACCGCTGGATGGCGCGAACATTCGACCGTCAGTGTAAAGCAGTTCACGTGATCAGTGCCGCAAAGTTACTTATTTGATTAGTAACCAAAAATAGCACAGATGCATATTTAACAGAAAAATACAAAAACTTATAAAATACAAGAACAGAGAAACTCCTAAAACTTTATCTCCAGGTTTAAATTAGATTTTAAATCCCAAATTTTCAATGTGGTCTCAGACTTTTGAACCCCCAACAAGACTGTTTGTTGTTTAGTAGGCCTAAGATGACATGTTTTGGTTGTGTTTGTGTGGTAACATATATTCTATTCTAGTGTATTCCTCAAATGACTTGCAATTGTACCATTATATTATTTTATGTACATTAGTGGAATAAATTTGAGTATCCCATAGTTATTAAACCGAATATCTGTTACCTTACGCATGGTGCCATTATCATTGAACTCCCATTTGAAGTAGAGGTTAGTGATCCCAATACAGCTGGCATAGGTGCAGGGCAGAAGGACTGTGCTGCCGTTCACTGCTTCCAGAAATGGAACCTTACCAGTAGACATCTCCAGAGCATGAACGCAACACATGCCTGAAATAGGAAGAAAAAAAGCAGATGAAGATGGAAAACATGAAATTAAATGTTCCTATGTGGTCAGTGACACTATCAAAACCTGAAGAGAGAAACGCAAATCTATCAAAAGGTCATTAAGATTAATGGCAAACTGACATATGCACAAACACATATACAATGCACCCGTTCCCATTTATTCTCTCTTGCTTTCTCACATAAAGGTAATGTTGCAGTTCTCTCATGAATCAAAGGGCTTTTACCTCACATCCTTCTAGTTATTAGCCCAGAGTTTTATCTACTATGCCACACCGCATTATTTTATAAGAACTACCAAATTTTGCTATAAGTTTGATTGCATCGTATAATAATTGCTGTTAATAGTGTTCATCGTCCGTTTGATTGTCTTTAATTGATTTTCCTTACATTTCTGCCATATGTACATTAACTGACAGTCACCACTGATAAGCTACCACTAAATATTGTAGAAACGTAATTTTCTGTAAAGTTGCTTTGCAACGATTTGTATCGTGAAAAGCGCTATACAAATAAACTTGAATTGAATTGAACATATGTTAACTTTTAGTGGTTGGTACAGTGATCATTTCAGCACCCAGACATGTTAAGAAAAATAAATCATGCATAAAAATTTCTGAGACTTTGTAGTGCCAATAAATATAACTGGTCAAGTATGAAACCTCTCAACAACCCAAACAACTCATTCATTTTCAGTCGTGGTTTAGAAAGTGTCTACCAAATGCATGAATATATTGAACAATTAAATAACTTTTAATAAAATAATAATAGTAAAAATGCAACTAAATGAATACATAATATAAATTATGCAAATAATACATATAAGGCATAATAATATTTGAATATGTCAGCATGTAGTTGAGCAAGGTTCATATAACAGCTTTCACATTTCACATGTGGTTCTACAGAGATACCGTTTCATGTACACAGCATTTTTAGTCATCTATATTTAACTTTTTCTGTTCTAGGTGTTTACTATAACTTTTATCGTCTTCTATTACTGTGAAACACATAAGAGGCATAACTGAATGAGTGAATTAATTATATACATGTTTTCTTGTTTCATTGTGAGGAACAATTTGTTGATATTCATGGTACATGCACTAACAGGGAAACTGTGTGTCTGGATATTGAAAGTTCCTATATACAGAATATATAACACCTATAAATGTATATATTGTACACATTTTACATACTGTATGTAGGCCTACCATTGTAGATGAGAAATAAGCAGGCTATAGGGTGAGCTTCCATACACACCTGGGCTCTCTGACGTCAAGTGTCCAGAAGTTTGCTTGGCATGCAATGTGACAGAATAAACATGTGCTGGTGTGAGAGTGCTGAGTTTACACTGCTGTGTAACTCGAGACGTTGCATAAGCAGTGAAGAGGTCCTACCAATCAACTGTACCCTTTCATGAGAGGTATTTTAAACAAGGAAACGAGTGATTGTGAAAACACTGTATTCAGTGGTGATTTAATCAACATGCTTGTCATCATGTTCTCTAAGAGACTTTGTACTTCCGTTACAGAAACGTAGCCTGCTGCTTCACCCCAGAGAAACATTTAATTGAATAAATATTGATGAGGAATCAGTCTCATGAGACTTAATGATTCTCTGTAACAAATCTCCCAAAATACCTTAGGAGAAACAAAACTATTTTTTATTTACTATAGAATACAGAGCTGCTGTGTTAAATGAATGAAGATAAAATAGCCCAGATACTTTGAAACTGATATATGATGAAAAACATTTGAAAGAGTCTTAAGCAAAGTTTGACTCAAACAGTCAGACATACTTGATTCGAGAGCCTATTTAATGGGATCTTCAGTCCCTTGTTTTCTGTGATTAACTCAGCACCAGTAACAATCTGTGATACTCCCCTTTACCAGCCATGAAACAAAACTCCTTACATTACTGTAAGTCTCATCTTCCATTAGTCTGTGGTGGTCCAAAGTATGTTCTCTAGAGCAGCACGGGATGCCCGTTCACAGCTCTCGCACACATAAATCTCTGTCATTATTCACAACCAAAATATGCTACCATAACTGACAAACAAAATTTGAACTTGCAAACTAAAAGCAAGCTCCTCAGAACCATGCCATCCCATATTCAAGTACAAATGCAGTGTGATATGCAAGGCCCAACTTAAATGATAAAACACTTGTGAACATTTTAACATAATCAGAAAGAAAGTCTTGAGTCAGACTTGATATGACATGAAGGAGAGCAAATTATAAGTCTGACCACAGTTTCCTGAGCGTAGTTCCGTTGTCAGAGGCAAATATGTCTCAGAAATTTGAGCCACTAAACTAATGCTGACTTTAACACTTTATGCTACAGCAGCTCTGCAATGCAACATTAGGAGTTGGATCTGCGTGTGTGTGTCTGTGTTTAGGACATCAGAGAACTGCATAGACTCACTGATTCAATATGAATTTTCAGTATGAAATATTAGTACAGTACAGACTTGGTACTTGCGGTAAACAACTCTCTGACAAGAACAGGAATTCATTTGGTCTGTTGTATTTAAAAAAAGTTTTTAAAGTTTATTTTTCTACATCAAAAATCATAACTAAACATAATAGTTGACAACAGTATGTTTTCATTGTGAGGAGGTAGAGGCAAGTCTTACCAATGATGAGTGTGAGCAGAAGAGAGGACACAGTTCTTTCTGAGGGCACTCCTCTCAGACGACCTCTGCTCTGTGTCTCCATCCTGCACTTCACTTTCTTCTCCCTTCTTTTTGTCACGTGCACCTGCCTTCCTCAGCAGTTCACATCCACTTTTGTCAGTTTCCCAGAATTCTTTGTTCCTCAAGATGCTGCCTGGTTGGCAAAGGCTCCTGTACTTCTCAGCAATTGTGCACTAGATCAATCTGAGCGTGCAGTTCCTAACATCAAAGATAAGATTCCTCCTGTTAAAGGCCTGTCCAGTTCTCAGGAGATCTGGAAGCACAAGGATCTGCCCAGCTGGGAAAATGAAGTTGCTAGAATTCCATCTGGCTTCGTTTTTTTGGTTGTTCGGTTACCCTCTAACCTGTGAAAAAGGGAAGTTTTGAACAGGAGGTGTGGAATATACTCATTGATCTTGATTCAATATAATGCATAGAATTATGCCCAATCATAAGAGAACATTATTCTACCATTATCTATTATCTATCTGTGTGCGGTTTACACGACTGTGTGCTAAGGACTGCAGTGTACTTAGAACAGTGAACTATTTAAAACTTGAAAAACACTCATATATGGCAAAGGACTTGACACTGAAAATAGGAGCTAGAAATACCTGATGTTATTGATCACCCTTCAAAAGTTCATATATGGTAAAAGATACCTTGTCTAAAAATACAAAGGTGCATGTATGGAATCTTTTGAACAGCTTCAGTGAATATGTGTGAATAACGAGATTCTGGAGTTATCTTTTGCAAACCATAACTTGGCTTTATCTTGTTAATAAAGTCTATCTGGCTTCAAAACCTCTTCAGAGCAATTTATTTTGATCAGAAAAATTCTCCAACAGAGGGCAGCAAGACTTACAAAGTACATAGAGACATAAAACACTCCACAATTTCTCTTATAAAAAAGTGATCCCACATTAACTATAACCCTATCTGCTGTAATGTCAACAAGAGAGATCAGCTGACAGAATATACTTAAGTCCGCAAGTTTCAAAGCAATTTACTGTAAGCTGGTTTGGATGTAAGTCTCTATAGCATGCATGCAAATTAGTAAATATACAAACCATGTATTTATAAACAATATTAATTAAAAAATGTATATGAATATTTCTTAATATCTCAACAAAGCTAATTATACATTGATATATAATAAAAAAAAAAATATATATATATATATATATATATATATGCATATATAATACAATATACTAATAAAATATATTTATGTATACTATATAATAATATTAATAACTACTAGTAACTAGTTTTATTATTATTATTATTGTTTTTTTATAAATGTATTTATGTATATTTATTAACTTGGTCCAATTTGATCTAAACTGACAATACTACTACTACTAATAAACATTATTATTATTACATTTGTTAAATTATATTAATAAAATATCCTTAATTATAATGTAATTATATTAGATGAACACACTGAACTTTTGTATTTGTGCATGAAGTCCATTCTTCAGCATTATAATATATACATACATTTCGGACTATGAAAAACCAACCAAAATGTTTGCAAATGACTCAAGAGCTGCATGTTTTTGTGTCTGGTTGAGTCTGTGTGTGTGTCTGTGCCATACCTCTGTTAAGCAGGTAAATCAGTGTGTCCTGTTTGGAGAAGCAGAGGGCATCGGTCCACAGAATATGCTGCACACAAATCCGCAGTGCTTTGGTCCCAATTCTGCTCAGACACGCACACGAACACCCTCTGACACACACACACACATACACACACTCTCACCGACACACCTTTTAAGGGACACGCGCAATCCAGCCGGTAAAACAGAAGTGAAGAGCATTGAAGCACTAGAGGTCTGAGGACAACTGCAGCTAGTCTGTTCAACAGCAGCCCACCCCCTCCTCTCTCTTTGAAAAATCTGCTCAAATCTGGCTCATGCTCAACTTTTCCCCTCCTTGGCTGACTGCCTGTCCCTCCCTTCCTTCCTCTCGCCCCTTCTATCTCTGCTCCTTTCCTCCCTCCTCCTCCCTTTCTCTGAGCTGTAAATGTGGGTTCAGGTTGTTAGGCTGTGTTATTTGGGGTCCGGAGTCTCTTCTGCACTGCAGTTTTTAGAGAGGCAACAGGAAGGACAGCTCCAGAAAGAAACATGAGGGGTCCGCCAGCTCCACAACTGCTGAGATACACATCAATTAACAGTGACAGGGTGATGAGAGTGACATGCGTCACTGTCCCACATTGAGGAAGATACATAAATGAGAGTAGACTGTACATGTGTGTGTGTGCTCGCCTGCAAAGTGACTGTGACTTTGAATATGTGTCTATGTCCACCTCTCACACATCCATGATAGATTGGCAGAATTGAGTTTCCTATGACTCTGCATTTCTCAACCCCACCCCCTCTCGTATTGTTAATAGGCTGCACCAGCAGTGTCAGGTTTTCCTGGATCAGGGCAATTGTCATCTGAAACCCAGAGACTTTCTGTATTCTGCATTTATATTTACTGGTGAATCATTGGAACAAAAAGCCATGATGAATATAAATTGTTCTTTCTTTTTTATTTCCTTAAATCCTTTACTTAATTCCTTTAAATAATTTAAGGAATTACTGTAGCTGGTATGATGCAGTAGACACTGCTTGGAAGTTTTTGTCTCGTGTCTCCTGCTTTTCTTATTGCCCTATCATATCTAGCTCTAGATACTGCTCTGCTTAAACCACATCCTCTTTTCTCAAAACAGGCCCTTGTTTAAGCCCCTCCATTAAGGACTGCAAACCACACATGGATTCTTACTGCATCATCCTCATATGGACATGAGTAGTAGTAGAATGATGTTGCAGCATTACATTGTGAACTCCATCCTCAAGTTCTGCAATAATGTTTCTGTCGTTCCAAGAAAAATCAGGCACCGGCTGATACAAGTGCTGTAAAACATTTAGATGTCATCACTCAATCTTTCTTAAAGGGATGGTTCACAAAAAATCAGTCATAATTTACTCACTTTCATGTCGTTCAAGTCTTTGAAATACTTGCTAATGTTGCTAACCAAAAAGTTTATTTTTTGGTGTCCTATCCTGTTAGGGTTAGCAGTGTCTTTGGGGGGGGAAAAAAGCATAATGTATCCGTGTACTTTTTTTTAGTTGTCCTTGTTACAATGTTATTTCAGTGTAATTACAATTATACAAGTACTGAATAATATTAACAAACAGCATGTACTTACTACAGGGTTAGAGTTTTTTGGGGGGAGGGGGGAATAGTTGCATATAATTATCCATAATTTACTGTTATTACTATATTAAGTACATGTAACGTGTAATGGACACAAAGTGTTACCACATTTTTTTAAATGACATTTTTTTGGGTCACACTTTAGTTTGAGGACCAATTTCTTATTGATAGTAAGGTAGTTGTTAAGTAGGCATGGGGTAGGATTAAGGGATCTAAAATATGGTCCTGCAGAATAAGACATTAATATGTGCTTTATAATTACTAACAAATAACCAATATGCTAGTAATATGCATGCTAATAAACAACTAGTTAAAAGTGAGAATTGGCACCTAAATTAAATTGTTTCACATTTTTTCAATGTTTTGTGGAAACTTGAAAACAGAAATGCAAAATTAAGAGTTGAAGTTAAAGACACACTCTCTTGCACTTCAATATGAAGATTTGAAGTTTAAATTTATAATATTGTTATGGAAGATTATATATATATATATATATATATATATATATATGTGTGTGTGCAAGTCATTTCAAACTATGACAAATAAATTCCAAAATATTTCATATTCTCTCTCAAATAAAATGAGCTCATAAAACAACAAATAATTATAAAAAAAAAAAAAACTATCAAAATGCTGATCAAGTTTTTGACAAAGTATTGTGTGTCACGCCATATGCCACATTAAGTATCCATATACAGTATCGACAAGTGTAGCATCAAAAATATCCATACTGATATCATCAGAGTTTAAGACACTGGGACAGTGCAGGAGTGTGTGTGTTTGTGGGATGAGGGCTGCAGTTTGGAGTTCTAAGTTCCGTTTTGAGGCTGCTCTGCAGCACTGTGCTGCACTGAATGTGGCAAGGTTTTTTACTGCTTTCTGGACCAGTTCCCACCAATGCTGCATTTCTTTCTCATCACACACACACACACACACACACACACACTCACAGAGAGAGGTGTCCTCTGCTGGTGCAGCAAAGAGTCTGGCAGGGGACGAGCCTCTTTCAGCACTCTCTGGTATACCGCAGTGAGTGAGCAAACACACACACACAAACACACACTCACTTCACTCACTCACGTACAGGAAGTCAGGTTCTTTATTTGGTTGAAGCAATTGAAAATCTATAAATTCAATTATTCCTTTTAAGTCTAGAACTCAGAAGTCCCTCATCCATCTTAGTACCACACACACACACACACACACACACACACACACACACACACACAAAAAAAAACACAGAGTCAGAAGTCCCTCATCCATCTTAGTACCACACACACACACACACACACACACACACACACACACACAGAAAAGAACACAGCATGTTCTTATAATAAACAGGCTAAAGACTAACCTCAGATCAATGTAATGTAACAAGCAGTGATATACTGTGTCTTGTCTCTCAAACACATGCTTTTAATCTACATCCTCTCAGTGTGCTAAGTGTTACTATAATAATAAATACACATGCATGTTCTGTTTACAGCCACATTTAAAAAAGGAGCCTGTGCAATGTTTGTCCATTTGAGGGGGGAGGATCTTTGTCTGTTCACTGTATTGAATGAAACTCTTAACTCATGTTATCACTAATTTATGACAGACTTATACAGCCACCAGAGGGTGCTTTTTCAACCACCAACAAATTTATTAATGCATACAGTATACACACACACACACACACACACCTAGTTGGAATCAGCTTCCAGAAGAGATCAGATGTGCTAAAACATTAGCCACATTTAAATCCAGACTCAAAACTCATTTAGCTGTGCATTTAGTGAATGAGCACTGTGCTACGTCCCAACTGATTGCACTGTATTTTATGTATAATCTTTTTCTATTCTTAACTGTTTTAATTCAAGTTTTTATTATTATAATTTTTATGATTATTTTAATTCCTTTTATGTAAAGCACCTTGAATTACCATTGTGTATGAAATGTGCTATATAAATAAACTTGCCTTGCCTATCTATCTATCTATCTATCTATCTATCACCAGATAAAATGTTTAATCCTTGTTTATAGACAGTATACTAGTCATAAAATCTGGCAATTTAATGAAAGCACAACCAAAATTATGATAGCTAAATTTAAGTTAGAATTTAATCCTTGCAAAAGAAGTCCAACATAAACTGGCATACAATCAGACTCAGTGGGGGTAGATGTTAGAAAAAAAAAACTAAAACAGTTGTGTTTTGATGACTTTTGAAACTAGCTTTACCATGTCAAAATTTCAAAGAGAACATAACATCCACAAAAAAAAAAAAATCTAAAGTTTTTTTTTTTAACTTTTAAAATGTCAATTTAAAAAAATCCATAAACATATTTGTAAAATGTAATAAAACTTGCAAGAAGATAAAAACTCATTTGAGATGAACAGAAACATTTACAGTATTTAATTTCAAAAGTAGGATTAAAGGATGAATTTACTATATATTTACTATATTTAGATATTTTCTAAATAGCAAAATCCTGATCGGCAGCACTGATGAACAAACAATCCCAGAACACTGAAGATCTGAGGTTGATGCAATGAGATGGGCAGTACAAATAACAATAAAGGTCCAAGTACTACATTTGTTTTATTTTTATTTTTTCATGCAGTTTCTCTTTGATCCATCCATATTATATATATATATATATACAGTGGGTACGGAAAGTATTCAGACCCCCTTAAATTTTTC